AATCCTGCAACCTATTAATTTCATTTGGTGACCTGTAGTTCTTTTATTGTGGGAATAAGTAAATAACTTTTCCTTATTCACTTTTCCCGCACTGGTCATGATTTTATAAACCTCTATCATAACCCCACTTAGTCTCCTCTTTTTTCTAAGCTGAAAAGTTCAAGTCTTTTTAATTTCTCTTCATATGGGATCCATTCCAAACCCATAATCATTTTTATTGCTCTTTTTTGAACCTTTTCCAATGCCAATATATCTTTTTTGAGAAGAGTTGATCATATCTGTACACAGTATTTAAGATGTGGTTGTACCATGGTTTTATATAAAGACAATAAGATGTTCTCTGTCTTATTCTCTATCCCTTTTTTAACCATTCCTAATATACTGTTTGCTTTTTTGACTTCTGCTTCACACTGAGTGGATGTTTTTAGAGAACTATCCACAATGACTTCAAGATCTCTCTCTTGAGTAGTTCTAGACAAATTAGTTCCCATCATATTGTATATATAGTTGGGATTATTTTTTCCCAATGTGCACTACTTTACATTTATCAACATTAAATTTCATTTGCCATTTTGTTGCCTAATCACTTAGTTTGGTGAGATCTTTTTGAAGCTCTTCACAGTTTGCTCTGGTCTTAACTATCTTGACCAGTTTGGTACCATCTGCAAATTTTGCCACCTCACTGTTTACCCCTTTCTCTAGATCATTTATAAATAAATTTAATAGGATTAGTCCCAGGACAGATTCTTGGGAGACCTCACTAGTTACCGCTATCCACTTGGAAAACTTACCATTTATACCTTTTGTTTCCTGTCTTTTAACCAGTTACCAATCCACAAAAAGACTTTCCCTCTTATCCCATGACAACTTACTTTACTTAAGAACCTTTGGCGAGTGACCTTGTCAAAGGCTTTCTGGAAATCTAAGTATACTATATCCACTGGATCCCCCTTGTTCACATGTTTGTTGGCCTACAGAAACCATGTTGACTTCCCCCCAACAAATTATATTCATTCATGTGTCTGACAATTTTATTCTTTACTATAATTTCAACTAATTTGCTCGGTACTGACAATAGATTTACCAGTCTGTAATTGCCAGGATCACCGCTAGAGCCCTTTTTAAATATTGGTGTCACATTAGCTATCTTCCAATCATTAGGTATGGAAGCCAATTTAATGGATAGGTTACAAACCACAGTTAATAGTTCCACGATTTCCCATTTGAGTTCTTTAAGAATCCTTGGGTGAATGCCATCTGGTCCTGGTGACTTGTTACTGTTAAGTTTATCAATTTGTTCCAAAACCTCCTCCAATGACACCTCAATGTGGGACAGTTCCTCAGATTTGTCACCTAAAAAGAATGACTCAGGTTTGGGACTCTCTCCAATATCCTCAGCTGTGAAGACTGAAGCAAAGATTTCATTTAGTTTCTCCGCTATGACTTTATCATCTTTGAGTGCTCCTTTAGCATCTCGATTGTCCAAGGGCCCCACTGGTTGTTTAGCTGGCTTCCTGCTTCTGATGTACTTAAAAAACATTTTACTATTCCTTTGAGTTTTTGGCTAGCTGTTCTTCAAACTCCTTTTCGGCTTTTCTTGTATTTTTACACTTAATTTGACAAAGTTTATGATCCTTTCTATTTTCCTCACTAGGATTTGACTTCCACTTTTTAAAAGACGTCTTTTTATCTGTCACTGCTTCTTTTACCTGGTTGTTAAGCCACGGTGGCACTTTTTTGGTTCTCTTACTTTGTTTTTTAATTTGCAGTATACATTTAAGTTGGGCCTATATTATGGTGTCTTTGAAAAGTTTCCATGCAGCTTGCAGAGATTTTACTTTTGTCACCATACCTTTTAAATTTTGTTTAACTAACTTCTTCATTTTTGTGTAGTTCCCCTTTCTGAAATTAAATGTCACAGTGTTGGGCTGCTGAGGTGTTTTTCTCACCACAGGATTGTTAAATTTTATTATATTATGGTCACTATTTCCAAGTGGTCCAGTTATATTAACCTTTTGAATGAGATTCTGCACTCCACTTAGGACTAAATCAAGAATTGCCTCTCCCCTTGTGGATTCCAGAACCAGCTGCTCCAAGAAGCAGTCATTTAAGGTATCAAGACATTTTATCTCTGCATCCCATCCTGAGGTGATGTGTACCCAGTCAATATGGGGATAGTTGAAATCCCCCACCATTACAGAGTTTTTTAATTTGATAGCCTCTCTAACCTCCCTTAGCATTTCATAGTCACTATGACTGCCTTGATCAGGTGGTTGATAATATATCCTAATGCTATATTCTTATTATTGGAGCATAGAATTACTAACCATAGAGATTCTATGGAGCATTTTGGGTCATTTAAGATTTTTACTTCATTTGATTCTACATTTTTTTTTATATACAGTGCTACTCCCCCACAAGCACAACCTGTTCTGTCCTTCTGATATATTTTGTACCCTGGTATGACTGTGTCCCATTGATTGTCCTCATTCCACCAAGTTTCCGTGATGCCTATTATATCAATATCCTCCTTTAAAACTGGGCGCTCTAGTTCACCCATTTTACTATTTAGACTTCTAGCATTTGTGTATAAGAACTTTACATATTTGTCACTATTTATCTGTCTGCCATTTCTTGATGTGTTAGACTCTTTTTCATTTGATTGTGTCTCATCTGATCGGACCCATACTTCCATCCTCTCCTCCTGACTAGAACATAGATCATCTCTATTAATAGAACTTGCCCTAATAGATGTCTCTGTCCGATCCATGTGCTCCTCCGCACCTGTTGGCTTCCCCCATCCCTTAGTTTAAAAACTACTCTACAGCCTTTTTAATGTTAAGTGCCAGCAGTCTGGCTCCATTTTGGTTTAGGTGGAGCCCATCCTTCCTGTATAGGCTCCCCCTATCCCAAAAGTTTCCCCAGTTCCTACTAAATCTAAACTCCTCCTCTCTACCACAAATTGAGACTCTGAAGCTCTGCTTGCCTACCTGGCCCTGGACGTGGAACTGGGAGCATTTCAGAGAACGCTACCATACGTGTCCAGGAGTTCAATATCTTTCCTAGCAGCCTAAATTTGGCCTCCAGAAGCTCTCTCCTACCCTTTCCTATGTCATTGGTACCTAAATGTGCCATGACCACTGGCTCCTCCTCGGCTCTACATATAAGTCTATCTAGATGTCTCGAGAGATCCGCAACCTTCGCCCCAGGCAGGCAAGTCACCATACAGTTCTCCCGGTCATCACAAACCCAGCAATCTATGTTTCTAATGATTGAATCCCCCATTACTAGCACCTGCCTTTTCCTAATGACTGGACTTCCCTCCCCCGGAGATGAATCCTCAGTGCAAGAGGATACCGTAACATCCTCTACAAAGAGGGTCCCAAGTATGGGATCATTTCCCTCTGCTCTAGTTGAATGTTCTTCCCTGAGCCTTTCATCCTCCTTAACAGCACAGGGGCTGTGGGTGACAGGGGCATGATCACATGAGGATTACCTGTTGTGATTCTTTCCTCTGGGCCATCTGGTGTTGGCTACTGTTGGCAGACAGGATACTGGACTGGATGGACCTTTGGTCTGACCCAATATGGCCATTCTTATGTTCTTATGTGCTGTCTGACTGGAGGTGAGATAGTTCTACAGTGTCCCAGAAAGCCTCATTTATGTATCTCTTGGCCACTCTTAGCTCATCCAATTCAGCCACCCTGTCCTCCAAAGCCCGTACGCAGTCTCTGAGGGCCAGGAGCTCCTTGCACCAAATGCACACATATGCCACCTGCCAACAGGGCAGGTAATCATACATGCTACATTGAGTGCAAAAAATAGGATAGGCCCCACTCTGCTGCTCAGTTTCGGACTGTATTCTCTCCTACACCTACTTAGCTTATTGATAGGGTTTTTATTTAAATCAGGAAGTTTTGTTTTTAGTTTAGTTTAAAAGTTTTAAAGAATGGCAAGTGTACTTCACCCCCTTCCAACTCCCCTTCAGAACTCCCTCTCTAAACTCGCTGTTAGCTGCCCCTGTTCGTGAAGCTCCCTGGTCGCTTACTCATGGGCTTTATAAAGCTCTGGCTTTCCTGATAGCCCCACCCCTTGGCTAAGGCTCAACCAATGAACAGAGGGTTATAGATTTCAGATCCTCGTTAAGAAGCTTACAGCTTCCAACTGCCGGCCACAGCACATGGTCCTTCAAACAAACAGCTCAGCACTTGAATCACCAGACAGGCAGGCAGGCAGGCAGGCTCAGCACACAGTTTCTTTCAGGCAACTAGCAACTAGCAAGTAACCCACAAACACAGACAGCCACTTACCTCAGGGGTCACGTATTCGCTCCTTCTTTGCCTGGAGAACTCCCTCTCAAAACTCCCTGTTCGCTGCCCCCGTTTCTTGTCACAGCCATCACCATAGTAACTGGTGCCCAAGTTGGCATTCTCAGCTGCGAATGGTGAAAGACTGAATGGCACTGACACTGAATTCCACTCTTATCCCTAGGGTGGGGACAGGGCAGAGCTTTATGGCTAAATCAAGAACTTCAGTCTCCTGGGCTGTTTTGCTGGTGAAAGGAGCTAGCCTAAGATGTACTTTAAAAATATTTAAAAAAAAAGAAAGCACCACACTTGTACCTCATAATGTTTTGAGCCTGTTGTCTGACTGATTTCACAGTAGCATTACCTCTAGCCACAAATGGCTTTATGCCCTCCCATTCATTCGTTGATTAGGCTCAATACTTGAACACCACCTCCTGTGACTGGGGGACTATCTCTTGACTGATTATGCAGTGGCAGTGAGACAGGAATCATTATAGTGCTGTGACTAATCAGGTAGGGGTATCTATTCGAAGGGACCGCTGCTACATTTAAAGCTCAATGAATATACAGTGAGTTTTAGAAAAAGAAGTTCCCTGTAATCTACATTTAGTCCCTAATTTATGATGGTTGGGGCAATTGAAAGTTTTGAGGGGCACCACTGGAACGGTGTTGACATCCTTATTCTCATTGTAGGCTCGGGGATCTGGAGGTGGAAGGAGAAGGAACGATGCTGCATCCCAGGATGACCATGACAAACCTTATGTTTGTGACAGTAAGTAATACCCAGACCACCAACTCTGCTTCTGGCCTGGTTCAACCAGATCAAATGCAATCAGGGCGTCATCTTCTCCTTCCCTGCCAAGAGTCCTGCTGCTTCTGACTTGTATGTCTTGCACTTGCTGCTGCTGCTGCTGGAGTTTTGTCCTGAAGGAAAGAAAATGAAGTTCTCAGGAGGACTCCACTTCTGTTGGCACTGTAATAACTCACCTCTCATGCTCTTTGTCAGTCTTTCTCTTTGTGGCTTCTCTGCCTTCCCTCCCCCACTCTCCCATAAGATTCATTCTCTATTTCCTTCTCTGTTTCAGATAGTTACAAACAAAATCTTAACTCAAAAATCTCCGACAAAGGTATTTCACCCATATGTGCATCTCACTTATTTTTGTGGTGATTCCCTTTCTTTCAATCCTTCCTTAAATCTCAGCAGGCTAAATCTCCAAGTCCTAACTCTCCGGCTGCGTCTAGACTGGCAAGTTTGGAAAAACTTGCCAGCTGTCTACACTGGCCGCTTGAATTTCCGCAAGAACACTGAAGATCTCATGTAAGATTGTCAGTGTTCTTGCAAAGATGCTATGCTGTTCCCATTTGGGCAAAAGCCCTCTTGCGCACATGCTTTTGCGCAAGAGGGCCAGTGTAGACAACGTGGTATTGTTTTGCGCAAAAAAGCCCCGATCACGAAAATGGCGATCGGGGCTTTCTTGCACAAAACCGCGTCTAGATTGGCATGGACGCTTTTCCACAAAAAGTGCTTTTGCGGAAAAGCGTCCGTGCCAATCTAGACGCTCTTTTCCGCAAATGCTTTTAACGGAAAAACTTTTCTGTTAAAAGCATTTGCGGAAAATCATGCCAGTCTAGATGTAGCCTCTTAGTCCTAACTCAGACTGAGCTTGTGGGCACATCAGTGGGAGCTGTTCCTTCATAAACACAGACTAAAACCCAACTGACTCCTAGCTCTAGCTTCCTGTTTTTCCCTTTGACTTTCCATACCCTCTCCTCCCTGTCCCCCACTCCTCTCCTTTTTTTTTCCCTCCCCGCCTTCTCTCCTATTTATTTTGGGTCTGCATATCCTAAACTCAAAACTCTGGTCATCTGAAGAAGTGGCCTGTGCCCATGAAAGCTCATGATACCATCTACATGTTTTGTTAGTCTGTAAAGTGCTACCAGACTATTTGTTGTTTTTTCCTGTACAGACTAACTCAGCTACCCCCTAAAGCTTCTAAAACCCAACTGTCCTGTAGGGTTCAAATACACACCAAAGCAAGGTGTGATGGTAGCACTGGTTGGCATACCCATGTGGGCATTAATCTAGGTAGCTCAAGTAACAACAGTATTGTATATGTGGTGGTAGAGGCTTCTGCACGGGTTAGCAGCTGCAGTGCCACCTGCCAGGGACTCTGGGTACGCAGCTCAAGTGGCCAGTCGGGACTGAAGACCATGCTGCCATATTGTCACTACAATTGTTAGCCTAGCTGGCTTGATTAAAGCTAGCTTGGATAGGGCAAACTGCACCACTATCACAGCTTAATTTGCTGTGTAAATGTACCCTCACTCTCTGTGAGTAGTAGCTGACTCTGTAATGGGTTCCATAGGGAGTACATGTGAATTAAGGCATTACTCAAAATGAGCAAGGGTGCCAAACTGTGTTAAAAAAAATCCCCATGATTTGGCACAGGACATATTCATTTTACTGCTAGGATCTATCTACTGACATTTTTCTTCTTCTTTTCAAGTCTTTCTTACTTTGGTATAGCCTACTCAGTGAATGACATCCTGGGCCAAACTCATCTTTCTGAGCATCTCCCACTTCAGGGCCTAGGATAGACTGTGTGTGCAATAGGAATTTCTGCTATCAAATATTACCTAGCATAGAAAGTGCCAACTCACCAAAGCTAATAGAGTGCTGTTGTCACTGAGTTGGTCCCAGGATATTAGCGAGATAATGTGGGTGAGGTGTTATCTTTACTGGAAAAGTTGGTCTAATAAAATATATTACCTTACCCACCTTGTCTCTTTAAAAGCTAAGAGTCAGGAGGAGAAGGACTATCTTCACATGTTGGTGGGATCTGGAATGAGTTGGTACACCCACTTCTTTCTGCCCCAACTTCCCAAGTCTTCCAGCTGCAAAAAGACCAATAATCACAGTAGTCATCTATGAATCTGTATTTTTTTTTAAAATGAAGAAATCTGGAACATAGATGTTAGACAAAAGATTTATTCCTGACATTCCAACTAGGCTCTTTCACAGTGATGTTGGGTGACTCTTGTACAGTGCTATGATTTCCAAGTGTCTTGCTTTGGCACTACGAATACAATGGGGTCTCAATGGATGGAGTTCCTTAATGGAGTAATTGATTTGGGAGGGAGAAAGTAAAGTCTTGCATATGAATGGGAAGAATGGTCTCTAGAATATCTGCCCACAAGTATAACCTGATCACAGGAGGAGGAGGAACTCATTAGGGTGAGAGGACAGGGGAAGTCTGTGCTGGTTTCTACGTAAGGATCTCATTTTACGTTGTAGGGTTTGTCCAGAAGTTCAACACGTATTTTCTGCTTAAAATTCTGAGCCTTTCAGTGAAAGTGGATGTATGGGTGGGATTGTCTATATTTACATTTTTGGAAATGACCCTGCATACAAGGACATTTCTGCAGATTATGGGAATTTTAAACATATTGTGACTCTTTCTGTAGCCAGTCATATTGTGACCACTTCCCTAGTGAAAGTATAAATGATCTAGCTCAGCTGCCAGATCACCCAGGCACCTAGTGACATGCAGAGAGGGTGATTCCCAGATAACGTGTGACATATCAAAGAAGGCAACAGAAGGCAAGCTAAGGTTATGGTGTCTGTAGTATTGATATTATTTTGCCCAACTTTAATTCCTGGTTTATGTTTTAGAGCATAATTTTTTGGTTTTGAAAAACAAATCTTCCACAGTCCCCTTGGCTGAAACCTTTCATTTTAAAGCAGGCCTGCACAACATACAGTCCCCAATGCCCTTACTATCTCCTTTCCCAGCATCACCCTGTCCCCCCTCCCACTGACACCTCCCCTCCTGCCCTTTTCATCATTGTCTCCACTTGGCCCCCTGGCATTTGTCTCTCCTGCATCCTGTCCCTTGGTGCCTTCCCCTTTCTCCTGACCTGCCCCTCTCCCCTCAGCACAAGCCCCTTCCCCTCCCCCCCCTGGCTTCCGCCTTCCAGTTTGCGGGGCTGCCGGAGCCTTTTTGAATCCGGTGGTCGCCGGTCATGATGTCACAACCGCACATCATGCTAGCGTCCTGGCGTCTGCCGGCATCCTGCTCTCTGGCTCGCACCCTGCCTCCTCGCGCCGGAGCTGCACGCAGGCAGCTTGGTGGCGAGACTTGCTGCACTTCCCCCTCCCCAGAGGCACTCCGCTCCTCCGCCCGGCCGGCAGATAGGATGGGGCTGCGCTGCCCATAGTGGTCACAGGCCGCACAGTGAGCCCCTGCGGGTCGCATGCGGCCCGCAGGCCATATGTTGTGCAGGCCTGTTTTAAAGAAACATATGATCAAAAGGCAGAACAAAAACAAATTTGCTAGGAATACAATAACCTTTTCTTATCCAAGTTAGATGGCTAAGAGAATGTTATTACAGGTTACGTCACTATGGGGGAACAGAAAAAGGGCTGCTCCAGCGATAATGCCAAGTTTCTTATGTGTTGTCCTCCCCCTTTCTTTTAGTATATATTAGAACTTATATTAATATTAGTAGTGAATAATTTATTTGACAAATTTCAACCTCTTTTCTATTAATGAATCATCAACAATCAGTTTAAGATTTTTTAATGTTAATTTATTCAAAATGATTTGCCAAATATTTTTGGCAACTATATCTTCATCAAAAGATGGATTGGGAGAAGTTTCCGTCCAATATTCAGCATACAAATTCACAGCTAGATTGGCTGGTTTTAAATGGGAACATACAGGTTACATCATTACTAGTGTGAAAAATTGCCTTCATGAGTCCAGAATTTGCTTTTCCTGCATTTTCTCTGTTGTAGAGAGTGCCTAATGACAATAATTGTATCTTGTTTTCCATATACAGTACTACCTTTTTTGTGTGTGAAGACAATAATGTCTCTCCTCCAGATCTCTTATCAGGCTTGCTTGTGTTCTCTGCACTTTATCTAATGTGTCTGTTAGGCCAAATTAAACCTAGCTCACAGTGGAAGGCTGAAGTAGGGTAGAAGAGAGGTATTAGGTTCAGTAACTATTTTTGCTATCATGTTATACTCATAATACTTCTAATTTTCACCCCAAATTTTCTGTTTCTGCAAATATGCCAGTCAGAAAAGGTATTCGTTTGAATTTTTGTGGAAAGTGAACAAACCCAAAAGGAGCACAGACAGAACTGAATGGAAGCATTATTTATTTATTAAAGGATATACTCACAGAAAATTCTTTGGGGAATTTGCCCAACTCCACTTCCTCATTTATAAAACTGTGTTTATAGGAAACAGAATCTACTTTAACAGCAGTGTTCCCTCTAAGCTGCATGGCAGCACAGCTTCACAGGTGAGTAATCAGATCTGCACAGACAATGAGCTCCCTGCATGGAGCCCTGAGTCTCTGACTGGGCAAGGCTGATTAATCACCTATGAAGCTCTGTTGCTGTGCGGTTTAGAGGGAACACTGCTCAACAGTTGTCAGTACTTGCAGAAAGATCTGTGAGGCTGCCTGTCCCTGTATCATCCGCATGGTTGTGAAGGAGCTAACCCTGAGCCAGGGTTAGTCTCTTCACCTCTGACTTCTTGCTGGCAGACCTCCTACCAATGGACGATGGGAATTCTACTCCAGAGAAGGAGCTCAGCCCTGACCAAGTGGGGAGTCAGGGACAGCCAGTTATTGGATACATATCACCATGATTTGGTTGTCTTTGAAAATCAAACATCTTTACATGTGGAATTTTCCTTTTCTGCTTCAGTAAAAGGCAGATTGCACATAGCTTTGTCAAGTGTTTCTCCTCTCTGTTCTGTTTCACTGCTTCCTCTCATCTCTGTGTTACTCTCTATCCATGCTTTGATCAAGAAAAGCTTACTTTATATAGCATTCTTTGTGTTTAGACTCTTTGAAGTTGGAATCCCAAGTGAGCTTTTTAGTCCATCCTCATCACAATGGCAAAACTAGTTTAATTCTTGCTATCATTCCTAGTGGACCGGTGACTAATCCAGCTTTGAGTGTCTCTAGTGATGGTAATTCTTGGCTAGGAGCTTGTTCTGTTGCCCAATTGTCCTTTTAGCTGTCAAGTTTCTTCAAATATTTAACCTGCATTTTCTCTGTTGTAGAGAGTGCCTAATGACAATAATTGTATCTTGTTTTCCATATACAGTACTACCTTTTTTGTGTGTGAAGACAATAATGTCTCTCCTCCAGATCTCTTATCAGGCTTGCTTGTGTTCTCTGCACTTTATCTAATGTGTCTGTTAGGCCAAATTAAACCTAGCTCACAGTGGAAGGCTGAAGTAGGGTAGAAGAGAGGTATTAGGTTCAGTAACTATTTTTGCTATCATGTTATACTCATAATACTTCTAATTTTCACCCCAAATTTTCTGTTTCTGCAAATATGCCAGTCAGAAAAGGTATTCGTTTGAATTTTTGTGGAAAGTGAACAAACCCCGGCCGGCGCCATTTATAAATGCCGGCAGTTCGAACCCCGTGCCGCGCGGCTACAAGCGGCACGGAGTAGCTAGTTCGGATTAGGCTTCCTAATCCGAACTAGCTGTACTCCTCGTGGAATGAATATGTGAATATGTGAATATGTCATGAAAGCTAGAAAGGCAATAGTCCTATTAGATTAAGTAGTTCATTTTTTGCCAGTGCAGTACTGTATTCTCCAGTGCTGTGTTTACTTATGATTTAAAGATCTCAAGCAAAGAGACTTTCTCAACGGCCACATTAAAATAGTCTTCATATTTCATATACCATTTTCTTCTCTATGCTAGATTCTACGACCCCAGGTAGTTGTCCTCCAGCTTCAATTTCTTCATTTTATAATCTGTCTTACTTGAAACATGTTACATTTATCTTTATTGGATCACACAATTATTAATCCAATAACTGATTTCAATTCATTTCTCCAATCTATCAGGCTCATGCAGGGCATTTTGTGTTATCTTCCTAAGTCTCTGTGATCATTCCCAACAGTCTGTCCACTGCACACGTGATTCTTGTATTCACCACTCCATCTGCCAAATCAGTAGGAAAAAAATATAGACTGGCACTGAGATGGACTCTTGCAAGAGCCTAAGACCAGTTTTTCAAAAGCATTTGGGGGCTTAAAGTTGCAGATAGGCACTTAGAGGAATTTCCCCCATGGTATCTGAACACTTCATAACCTTTAATAGGTTTATTCTTACAACGCCCCTATGAAGTAGGGAAGTGTTGTTATCCTCATTTTACAGTGGGGGTGAGGATGGGGGCCCTGTGGCACAGAGAGCAAATGCTCATGGTCAGGCAGTCAGCCAGGAAGTCAGCCCAGGTCTCTCAAGTCCTAAGTTAGTGCCTCAAACACTGGATCATCCTGACTTCAGTTTACTTTGAAATTCCCAGTAGTTGTACCCTTTGGTGAATATTTTGAGCTTGGCATTGAACTATTAATATTTTCTCTACATTTGATATAAAAAGCAGCCTCTATCTCCAATTCATTATATGTTGATCTAATTTTCTTGTGTGTTATTGTGGCATAGTATCAAAGGCCTCATTAATGTCAGGATACATTCCCTCTGCATTTCCTTTGTACACTAGACTTATTCTGTTAGGCTGGGATTTTCAAGCATTGTAAGGGAGTTCCACTGAATTTCAATGTATTAATTGTTCTAACAACTTACCAATAATTGAAATTAAATGTGCTCCTCTTCTACGCTTCCCTGCCTTCTTTCCCCACACCTTTAAAATTGGCATGGTCCTGCCATCTTCCATGGAGCAAACATCTATTGATCTCAGTGGAAGGTTTTCTGGAGCAAGGACTTCAAGATCAGGCATTATGTTTGCTCTTTGTCTGGACTTGGATACCTCACCTGGCTTTTTTTATTCTCAAAAACATTAACCATAGCTTCAATAGTGCGTCCACTAGCCTCTTGAGCTCTCTGTGGTAAATATCACTCTGTCCAGATGATCTGAATCCATTCTGATTATAGCCTTGTGACATGCTCCCTCATAAGTCTGCTTTGTGCCACCCTTCCCTTGATAACTATCAGAAGCTTATGTGCTAAACTATGTGATGACATTGCTCTCCTTAGTGAAGACTGAAGAAAAAGTAGCTATTTAGGCAATAAGAACTAGATTAAAACAGCACCAGAAATTGATGGGGTTACTCAATACTGCTATTAAGGATGGGGGAATAGGGTGATATTTGGATTAAGAGGGCATTGGAGTTCAGAGGGCCTATTCTTTGGATGATATTTAGATGTCCAAAGCCAAATATCAGCCTTTTAATCCATCCCTCACAAGACTCAGAGGGGTCCTGTCCCTGCAGCATGTCCTAGGCCTCTAATTACTGGTGGTTTTTCAATGCAGGATGATGGCAGTCCCAGCGAAACTGTTTGGGAGCCAATGTTAAATGAATCTGATGGTCTCCATCCAGTTCTAGATAAGTGTTTGTTAGACGATTTTATATAGACAATTATCATCACTCCTGCTCCACTTAGTGATTATTGATCCCATTTTTGGCAGTGTCAGTAGAGAAGTCAAGGATGAAATAGATATGGCGATTTAACACTTCTCTGACCGGTAGAGATGGACACTACTTAGATCAGGGTTGAGGCACATAGGTGGAGCAGCATGGGACTCTGGTGCTCTTTTAAAATGTGCTACTGGTGCTCTATGGATTAACAGAATTCATCAGTTTTCAGGGTTTACAATCCATAGCTTTCACCAGCAATTAGTATAATGGTCACATTTAAAAAAATGATATTTAAATGTTTTTTCCCCTGGTCTTTAATGTATATATAGCCTGAAATTAGCACAGGTAACAGAATGTATCCAGTTGGTCAGCCCAAGCAGCATCACTCGTTATATGTTTGGAAAACCAGTGGGAAATATATTACCATTTTGTTATTGTGATCATCTATATTTGCAACATGACACTCTGGGTTAGCAAGAAGCAAACCTGCTGCTTTTCCACTGAAAAGGATCAGAATGCAACCTGTAGAACGTTAGAGATCTCTCCATGTTCCAGAATCTGGTTATGACAGTTGTAACAATGGAAACTATATTCCAGAGCCAATGCAAAAGAGGGTTGGAATTTTGTGTGTGTATGTGTGTGTGTGTGTGGAGAATAGGAGGTGGGGATTACAAAATGGCTCCTTGACAGTGATGAACTGAGGCTTTAGCATTTGACATTCCCAAATGCAGCACTCACGACTTCCCCAATTTCCTGTTTCCACTGACACATGGATGATTTTCTTCTGTCTCATTCTGGTGATAGATTTTGTGTGCGTGTGTATGTGTGTAGTGCTGACTAGAACATAGCTCACCTCTTGCCAAGGACTACGTGTGTAGCAGTCTCAGAATGAGAGCAGTGCAGCCAGTAAATAGCTAATGATGAAGCCTTTTGAGCCATGGATCCCAAAGCACTTTTGAAAACAAGAAGTGTTGTTATTCCCATTGTACACATAGGAAAACTGAGACACAGAGAAGATAAGTCACTTGTCCAAGGTCACAATGCTCTTCAGTGACAGAATTTGGAATGGAACTTTGTGTTGTAAGGTTCCCTGTGTAGGTAACCAAAGTGTTTCAAAGTAGGGCTTGTTTTCCCATAAAATAATTGTGTAAAATGTTAATTTCATGTTTAAAAATTGAAACCAATATAAGATAAATCACAGAAGAGCATCTGGTGAATGATTCTTAGTCAGAGTGTAATCTGCACCATTTCATTATGTGGCTTGCTCAGTCATTTTGTCCACAACATTGGACTCTATGGTTTGTGGCTGTCTGAATGCAAAACGTATCATTTAAGTGCAGGATGGACCAAAATGAATATTGGGCCAAACCCTTCAAAACATGGTTTGGTTGCCCGATTAAAGTCTAAGTCAAAAAGGGAGGACTTGTCTTAGTGTTAGGAGACAGGAGAAAAATCTGTCAATTGATAGACTCGTGTCCATCTATGTGGAAAGAGGGAAAAATGCAATGCTGTTTGATGGAATGCAAAGTACACAGTGAAATTTGAAAAATGCACATTCTTCACTTAAGTGGGAGGTGCATGGTAGCAGAGCATAACAACCAACATATAGTTTTATTGTGTTGTAAGATTCTATTCTGATTACAGCTTTGGCAATTAAGAACATGAGAGACCTGTTCTGAGCACAGGAATGGGACTCAAGAATTCATGAGTTCTAATCTAGGTTCTGACAAAGGATCACTCTGCGACTTTGGCAAGTCACTTATCCCCTCTGGGATTCTGTTTCCTCATCTGTTTAATGAGGATAATGCCACACAGGAGCATGGAGAGGATTAATTAGTTAAAGTCTGAAAATCCCTTTGAATATGGAAAACATTATGTAAATGATAGTTTCTATAAAACAGTAATTATTAACAATACCTATCTCTGAACACACTAATAAAATAGGTTCTATCAGGAAAATAAGAATTAGGATCAGAATTAAGAAAATAAGAATAGCCGTACTAGGTGAGACCAATGGTCCATCTAGCTTAGTATCCTGTGTTTTGACAGTGGCCAGTGACAGCGTGTAGCAGTCTCAGAATGAGAGCAGTGCAGCCAGTAAATAGCTAATGATGAAGCCTTTTGAGCCATGGATCCCAAAGCACTTTTGAAAACAAGAAGTGTTGTTATTCCCATTGTACACATAGGAAAACTGAGACACAGAGAAGATAAGTCACTTGTCCAAGGTCACAATGCTCTTCAGTGACAGAATTTGGAATGGAACTTTGTGTTGTAAGGTTCCCTGTGTAGGTAACCAAAGTGTTTCAAAGTAGGGCTTGTTTTCCCATAAAATAATTGTGTAAAATGTTAATTTCATGTTTAAAAATTGAAACCAATATAAGATAAATCACAGAAGAGCATCTGGTGAATGATTCTTAGTCAGAGTGTAATCTGCACCATTTCATTATGTGGCTTGCTCAGTCATTTTGTCCACAACATTGGACTCTATGGTTTGTGGCTGTCTGAATGCAAAACGTATCATTTAAGTGCAGGACGGACCAAAATGAATATTGGGCCAAACCCTTCAAAACATGGTTTGGTTGCCCGATTAAAGTCTAAGTCAAAAAGGGAGGACTTGTCTTAGTGTTAGGAGACAGGAGAAAAATCTGTCAATTGATAGACTCGTGTCCATCTATGTGGAAAGAGGGAAAAATGCAATGCTGTTTGATGGAATGCAAAGTACACAGTGAAATTTGAAAAATGCACATTCTTCACTTAAGTGGGAGGTGCATGGTAGCAGAGCATAACAACCAACATATAGTTTTATTGTGTTGTAAGATTCTATTCTGATTACAGCTTTGGCAATTAAGAACATGAGAGACCTGTTCTGAGCACAGGAATGGGACTCAAGAATTCATGAGTTCTAATCTAGGTTCTGACAAAGGATCACTCTGCGACTTTGGCAAGTCACTTATCCCCTCTGGGATTCTGTTTCCTCATCTGTTTAATGAGGATAATGCCACACAGGAGCATGGAGAGGATTAATTAGTTAAAGTCTGAAAATCCCTTTGAATATGGAAAACATTATGTAAATGATAGTTTCTATAAAACAGTAATTATTAACAATACCTATCTCTGAACACACTAATAAAATAGGTTCTATCAGGAAAATAAGAATTAGGATCAGAATTAAGAAAATAAGAATAGCCGTACTAGGTGAGACCAATGGTCCATCTAGCTTAGTATCCTGTGTTTTGACAGTGGCCAGTGACAGCTACTTCAAAGGGAATGAACAGAACAGGTAATCATCAAGTGAGCCATCCTGTCAGCGTTTTGGGAGAATCCAGTCTGACAGCCAATTCCTAAAATTCTGAGTTTGTTTTTATTCCAGCATACTTCCAGGGGAGGTAGTAATTGTTTTGTAAGGATAAAAACATAGGACCCCCTTTTCTCCTATAAAAAACCAACTTGCATAGAGACTTGCATCAAGAAAGAAGCTGTGGGTTCAGTCTACAAAATCTGTAGATCAGCTGAGATCCTCTAAACACTCAAGGGATTTATTGTGCCATGTATAGTGGGCCCATTCCCACAGTGGCTTAAAAGTTAACTGGCCTCCTTCATTGTCAAGAATGCCTATTGGTGTCTTTGGAACCCCTTGCAGTCCCCATCATAAAGATTACTCCAGAAAAGAGCGGCCAGCTGCAGAATTTAGAATGGTCTTAGGCTATGATCAACAAATAACTGACAAAAACACTGAAATTCAAATATTGCAGTGAAGTCTGTGAACTGTAGCTGTAGCTCACAAAAAGAGTGTTATTATTTTAAAAATTCCATTTCATTCACATGCACATGAATGGGATAGTACAATTTAAAAATCAAATAGTCTACTATCAACATATCTCTATCTGTCTTTTCTATGATATGTAATAAGAGTCATATAAACCAGATAATTTTACCTTTTAAAATAAACCTTCATTGTACTATGAACCATGTAAGAGTAAGTGTTTTATATATGTCTTATTTGTGTAAAATGTTACAGTTGTGAAGTTTTGTGGTTTGCCGGCCTTTTAGTTTTTGCATCACCAATATGTCCCATGTTCTATGAATGAAGGAAGATCTGGGTGGGAGTTCTTTTCTTTTCTGAAATGCAATCAAAGAGTATCTGGCTGACACTGAATGATGAGAGATCAAAGTTGCATTTCTTCAAGGACCTAAAACACATTTCTTAAAGGACCTGTACCTAAAGAACAGTCTAGTTTATTACTTCCTCCTCTCCCCTCACAACAGGAAATTCAAAGTTAAATTTACACTTAAAAGAAGCTTAGTGGGTTTCACATTTGGATTAATACATTTAGGGAATCCAAAGAACCTTAACTCTCCCACTATATACTTGCTTCTTCATTGTGAGTGTTATTTTTGCATTAAAAGTGTTTTTAAAGGGTTTTATGAAGCCTATGGCTGTTAATTAGGAAAAAAGTTTGTACTGTTACAGTGAGCTTATAATTGCCATCTTTCCATTTTCTCTTCATCTTTTTTCATAAGGGCTATAGGAAGTCTGTGGTCTGTTACTGTGAAAAACTTATATTTGAAGGAGACTCTGTATTTCTGCCTTGCTCTTACAGTGAACCAGTGGCCACAGGATCTGGGCAATGATAGAAGTACAGGGACTCAAACCAAATGTGGGCGTTATTCAGATCTTCCTAGAGTTTGGTTATTTGTATTTAGATTCCCCCCATCTCAACTTCTGTTGCTGTGATTAGGCATTTATATGAATATAGGCTGCAAGTTAAAACTGATACAAAAATGCCTGAGGATAGCTTTGACTTTTCTTATTTTTTAAAAAGAATTGTAACGAAGTTTCCTTGTGATCAGGTTACTTACATTTTGGATTCTGTTGTGCCAAGGAAAAGGGATAGAGACCTACTTTTTAAAAATAAAAGCTTAGCTTTCCCTTCAGTCACATGGCACTCTGTCACAAGCCTACCAGAGCCGATGGGCTGTTCTGATATTCCAGCTGAAAAGTGAGCAAATTCTCAGGCATGCCTTCTACCCCTCCAAGAATTGATCCTATGCACCACGTCTTGCCAAGATCTTTCTATTACACTTAATGTAAAGTTTGTAGAACAAACCAAAAAAAAAAAAAAAGACTTCAAAACACACCTATTTTTTTTAGTCCCAGATCTTAGAAACATCTTGTTTAATTCCCCACAAATGTAATTAAAATATTTTCTGATAACTACCAAAGACACCTGCGAAATTTGAAGAGGAAAAGATCTTTATTTTTTATTTGAAGAACAAGGGGTTCCTCAGATAAAACAAGGGGTTAAATTTAAGTTGACAGAGGAAAGTCTCTGCCTTAACATAATATTTAAAAATACCAGCAAGAAACATATATAATACTTTCATTAATGGACCAAGCAAATGTAATCTAGTAGTGTCTTTTGGTAACTACCAACCAGGGCTGGACTGACCCTGGTGACTTAAGGTGAGGGAAACCATATCATTTTATCAGTCCCCCGACCCAAGCAGCCTCCTGGGAATTTCAGTGTTAACATTTTAACCTTCTTTCACAACCTTATGCCTTAGATCTAATATGTTTATTCATTTGGTGCCTGATAACCCTTTCAGTTCCATGGACACAATTACCTACCACTGAAGTTAAAGAGACTTACACTGATCTTAATGGCACTCTGATCCAAGTTAATGGCCTCTTTTTATGTAAAGTTAGTCAACATTTTACTGACTCCAATAAAAAATAAAAAATTCTGGTCTCTTTGATAATAGGCCCTTGCTCTTCTTGACACTTCCCTCTCCCCCCACCCCTCCACTGTTGGAACTCTCAGCAAAGTAGGCAAGGCCTGTATGTGTCATACAGACTGAATTCACCTCTCACTTTGGGAGATGGTTCCTCCAGGTTTTGTAGCTAGTATGGTGAAAGTTTGCACTTCTGTTGTCTAAGCTATGTGTTTCCTGCCCATATTGAGGCATTTCTGTAACTTTTTAAATTATTTTATGTATATATTTTATTTTACACATTAACATAAACATTACACACATGCTATCTACCCATACTGAATAAAGAAAAGTAGGCCAAGAATGCCTATCGTTATGAATCAATTATTCTTATTCATATCATGCCATAGATAAGCATGCTTTATACAAACATAAGGCAAGTTGTGTTCCCTAAGGGAGTTTACAAATAAGTTAGAACAAGTGAGATTAAAATTTTACCTCACCAATTTACAGTTTACAATTTCATATAATCTCCTCTTGAATGTGGATCATCCATCTGCTTTTTGTAAGAAACAGCAGAAAAGTTTCATAATTAAACCTGTTCTCTCAGTATAAATGAACAAGTGCTTCTTCAGCTCATTTTGCTGAGCATTAGAACATTGTTGGCTCCTGCATGTGAGGAAAGTGAATGGGATGGGGTCTATTAAGTCTTATCTGTTTAGCCACAATTTGTGGACAGTGCACGGAATGCATGCAGTACCATGTTTGGCCTTGCTTTGCACAACCTGCCACGGTGAAATAAAGTTGACTAGAAACGGCATTGTGTATTCCAGTCAGACAGATCACATGGGTAAGAGGCATTTTCAGAATCGGACTATCAGAACACCTTAGAGGGAATGCTGATAGTAAGAACAGGGTGGAGATCCATAAATTGCTGGCTTCTATTTCCAGTGCTGACACCAACTGCCTCTCTGGCCTTAGTCATGTTACTTAGGGTCCAGTCCTGCAAACACTACTGTGCAAAGTGTGTACTAGCATGGGTAATCCCTGGGGTGAGTGGATTACGTAGAGTAATAAATACTGATCTGGTAATAAGAGCTTACAAGATCTGTCCCTTACTTCTATCCCTCATTATCTTATCTGTAAAATTGTAATAATGATATTTAGTTCAAAAATTGCTTAGAAAGAGAATAAGGAGACATTTTATAACGTGCTTGGAAGATGAGAAGTGCTCAGGGTCAGGCTGTCATTTTCACTAGCAATAGCCTGAATAAAAATATTAAAAAGCGTAAGTATAAGTACTTTTATGCGTGGTTTGAGTCTGTTCTTAAGGTCTGTTGACTTGATGATCAAATAAGTGCATGCACCATTTAAGGGAGGCTTCTCCATCACACAACAATGATATTTACTAGAATACTCCATGCAAGGCTTCATTGGATAGAAGCATCAATGCTTTTATTTCAAAGACCATTCAGTAGTGAGTGATTCCCAACATTTGTGTCTGGATTTAAATCTGGAAAGTAGATCTTTTCAAAATATTTCTCCTTTTCTTGCTGTTAGTAATATTGGTTCCTTCTCCTTGAGATCAGTAACCATGAAACAATGCTGCTTGGTCTGACTCCAATTCCCATTATATCACAAAACACTAACACCACAACTGGTATTTAATTTAGTCTGACAGACAACTTGCTGGTAGTCTCAGTGGACAGGTCAAAGACTGAATGGCCCTGGAGATGGAACAACCCTCTAAACCTTAGAGATGCTCCATCCAGGACAGGGATAGGGACCAATGCTGGTGTAGTGTGTGGGAATCTTGAGTGTGCTGCACATGTTCTGGGGATAAATAGATGACATTATCTTGCAAGGCTGTCAGTGTGTCATCTTTCATCAGCACTACATTCGTGAGGTTTCCATTAACATCCGCAAGAAGGATGTACAGTGAGGGGACTGGGGTATGATGCATTAAAGGCCATTCTCTCTATTACTGAACGTCCTGATATTCCATTCTCTTCTCTCTTCCATCATGTTTCTTCCCTCCCAGTCTGTGGCAAACGTTATAAGAACAGACCTGGACTGAGCTACCATTATGCTCACACTCACCTCGCCAGCGAAGAGGGGGATGAAGCCCAGGAGCAGGTGACACGCTCCCCACCTGTCCACAGAAACGAGAACCACAAACGTGAGTAGTGTTTGCATTAGTCCTCTCTTCTGTCTTTTTTCTGGGTTGTTACTTCTGCTTTCATCTCTGCATTTCAGCACTTTTTATGTTTGTTCTGTTTCTTTGTGAATGAGTGGAACCTGGATGTTTAGTGGAGCTAATCAACTTCAGCTGGCCCAGGTGCTGAACTCATCTAGTCAAGAATTCAATTCTCACTCAACATTAACTCTGCAAGTCACTCTTCCATCACTGCTCCTGTAGGGAGGAGACGGCAAGGAGGGGGGGGGGGAGAAGGAATGGGTCCCCCCCCTGCCAATCATCAAACAGTAGTTACTGGAGAGGTTAAGAAAATGCACAATTCATGGCAGTAGATCCTCTTTGCTGTTTTCTTTGAGATAAAATCCTTAGTCTCATCTGAGTTTTCTGATATAAAATTCCAAACAAATGCCCAATGATCCCGCATCCCCAAACACCACTTTCTAAATACTGTGTTAATCTGGAAAAGACGGAAGATTAAAAAATTATCTGCACAGATTTGATGGCATGAGAAAGGACAGAAGGGCTGTGCTCTAGTAATCCTAGCACCAATGTAAAGGGAAGATAGTGTGTGTGCTGGCACGGTAAAGCCCATTTTAACCTTTTAAAGGCATAGGACTGGGAGTCCGGAGATCCATATTTTGTTAGTGGCATTGCATTGATTAGCCCTCCTCTGCCTCTGTTTCCCTTGGTGCAAAGTAATTGCCTCCCACTGAGATATATCATATGGTTAAATTAAGTCCATTGGCTGAAAATTTTAGTTCAAAGTAATTATTACTGTTGTTTATTAACAACAGAATGAAATGCTTACCTGAACAAACTACAGGGCAAATACTTCATTTGTATGTCAAAAAGAAAAGGAAGAAACTTGGATTTAGGAAGCCATTCCCTCTTGGGCAGGATAGTCTATAATGGTCTCATGTGGTTGCAAGAAGAGGTTTCCTTTTCTGCAAAGCATCTATTACAAGCCATTGTTAGGCAATCCTTAGATTTCTGTCCCTTTTCCACTCTGCCTGGTAGGTTTTAACATGTTTTGTAAGATGTTTGACTTGTCCAGAAGCAGTTTTGACTTGCTGAGTAGTTGATAAACTTGAACTGCCCATTACTCTATGGAGTTACTTTTCTGGCAGGCTTTAAAATATCACCATCTGGCCGTTATCCCACAGTGAGCTGTAGGAGAGGTTTTTTTTTTTGTTTATTTTGTATGCTCTTTTTAGATTAGTTTTTTTGGTGTCTGAAATAGGGTCTTGTATACTTTCCTACCTGCCAGGGGGGTTGTGAATCTTAATCAATTTGTGTTGATCTTAACCATGCACAGATAAGCAAACAGGGAAGGGCAGTGCCCCTCACCATGCTGGTTGGCACAAGTGACAGGTGCAGCGTAGTTCATGGGGTTTTGAGGTTCAGGGATAGGGAGAAGTGAGCACTGTAAGTGGTAAAATCTCCACAAAAGGAGCTAGGAAGAATGGGATGATATACTTCCTTCATTCCATGTCAGCCAGCAAACCTGGGCCATTGTGGAGGAAAGCACACTTGGTTCTCTGAAAAACAGTGTAGGCAGGAGCTGGTCGGACTTATGCATTGCCTGAGCTCCTGCAGACATTGTGCATGAGGCAGGTGCAATGCCTGCGAGAGAGGCAGCTGGTGTGCAGTCCCCAACATGGAGAGTAGCTTAACGCCACTGTCATGCCCTTTGCATTTGTAAATCACTGTGAGGTTCAGATCCTTGAATCAGTGGCCATTGAGGGTGAGGATGGAAACCATGTAGAAGTGCCATGAGATTTCTGCTAGAGGGAGTCAGAGTAGATAGGGAGGCAACTCTCTGGCCTGGCTGTTTGTTTCCTTTTTCTGTTTGTTGGTTTATGGCCCTGAGCTCAGCTCTTGCATATTCCCTCTTTCACTTGGCAATATTTAATTTATGCTGCCATCCATCTTCCAAGTGAATGCTAATTGTCCACATTGCTAATATACAGTCATTAAACGGTTCCTTTGTACATGGGCATGGTGGGGAGCCAGAGCATCAGATCCTTCCTTTTCCCTAAGTACTGCTGGGCATGTGTTATGAATTAGATTTGACAGGTCTGCTGTGTCACAGGGTCTGGGCTTCAGAAATCCTCTTTGTGTGGGCTTGTGGAGGGAGGAGGGGATGTTAATCCAAACAGCTAATCTGCAACCTACAGAAGAGAAGGGCCAGACATACAGTAAACAGCAGGCACCACTGATTATTTCTTTAGCAGTGTGGCAGAGAAATACAATCAGCCCAATTTAGAAAAGGCAAAGCAAATCCAAGGCAGCCATTTGGAATTTGCAGTGTTGTGGGAGGTGGGGGTTCATGGTCGCGAGGTTCAGGCATTCTGCTCCAGTATGAACTTCTTGCCATTTTATTCTCTCTCCCCATTCCCATTTCTCCTGTATAGTGTCTGCTTGTAGCAGTATCCGCAGTAACAACCACCCTGCTAATGCAGAAGGATCCTCTCTGGATCAGAGCCACTGCCAGAGTCACTTATCGATCCTCTGACTAGTCCCAGCTCAACAGTTGATAGTCTCTTTTCTCTCTCTGTCAATCCTCCTCTGTCCTCACCCCCTCAATGACCCACAGGCCAGCTTGGATGGCTACATATATTTCCTCGCGACCGACAAAAAATTATATAGGAGCAGCCTAATTTAAATTGACTGCCTTCTGATGGGTCTTTATCACAGATCAACCACGCAGATGGGATGTTCCATTTCCTCTGAACCTCTCACTTTCCTCATCACAGTTGTGTGGGTTTGGTTGGTCTTACTCACTAACATATAATTCAGCTTTTCCCAGCTCACTTTCTGACCTTCTCTTTTCCCTAAAACATTGTAGCCTATGTTTTTTAATACAGGCTATGACCATGCAGCATTGGTTTACTGATATGTCATTGCTCACTCCCTTGATATCGGGATGGGGGAGACGTTCCTTCCTCAAGACCCAAACTTGCTTCAATCCCATATCGACTTTTTATCTAGTGTTGCAAATATTTGTCAGCAAGGTTTGAAATAATGAAAAAGAAGCATAGAAAACTGTTTAAAAACCAAGTAAAGCTGAACCCCAAGAATAGAACAAAATGGTTCCACATCATGTCAGACTTCTTTTTCTGCTGTTGTCATTCTTCACTATTTGGCATTGGCAGGATATGAGCTGCGAGTCCATGAATCTGCCACTGAACACATGTTGCAATATATGTACATCTCATCCTAAAGTTATAGGATGACTTGGGATAGCTGGCACCTGCAGATTTTGAAAGGTTTCTAAAATGGGATTGTTATTAACTTGATATCTGTCTATTTATATATATGTTTAGATGAATGTGGCATTGTAAAACTCATTTCATTGTGAAAGGAACCAGTAGGTGTATGCTTGTCTGTGAGGGCATGCCTACACTAGGAAATTATTTTGAAATACCTAAATTTGAAATAATAATTCCCGAAATTGAAATAGCATGTCCCCACTACAGGGGAGCCTCGAAATTAGTCTGATTTAGGCTCCATTAATGTGGACATGCTACCTCGACTTAGAGCCCCAGAAAGCACTGGGGAGTATTTACTTCAAATTACTCTGGGGAATAGTTATTTCGAAATAGCAACAGCAGAGTGTCCAGACTAACGCTATTTCCTGAGGAAAGCAGGAATACAGATTCTGATATAACTAGCCTGTTCTTTCGAAATAACGGGCTTGGTAGTGTGGATGTGATACTTACTATTTTGAAATAAGGGGGGTTCAAAATACCTCCCTAGTGTAGACCAGGGCTGAGGCACAAACCTTTTCCTTGTAAATGGGAGTGAATCAACTAAGTGGTACTTTGCTTTTTTAAAACTTAAACATTAGGGTAACTTCGAGTGTTCAGTAAAATTGGGGTCTTATAGCACTATCTAATGTCAGTCATAGTGCGAACAGATGCTATTCAGACTTCATGCACCATGTACACCTCTACCGATAGCACTCTGGATTTGCCACACATTCTGTTAATCCTGCTGGAGTCCAGAGCACACATACAGCTCTGCTAATATGAAGAGTTGACCTGTAAAACCAACTGCTGTATCACTTCAAGGCATCTGCCAATTTTGCCCATTTCTATGGCAATAACTTGTGATGTGGACAAATCTCTATATGAGATATTAGTCAACGGCATTTGTGTATTCTAAGCATAATTAGATACCCAGTCTTCAGAGATGAAAAATTTATGCACTAACCTCACTGTGCTTCCAAGCTGTCCTCCAGCTCCCCTACACAGCCCTTTTTGAAACATTTTTATTTCTATCCAGGCAGGGGGCTAGAGATGAATAAATGACAAGAGCCAGCCCCTCAGTTGGAGATGAACTGTTTGTTCTTCTCCACAAGCAGCATCAATTTGAAAAGCTACATCAGGCCTCCCTTTCTCTGCCTTAGCACTGCTTCTCACTGGGGAAGTGATAGGAGC